TTCTTTTCACATATCCCAACAATGTTTTACCAACTTTAAAGTGCAATTGATTCCAATCATTCATAAACTTTGAGAGCAAACTTGAAGCATACATGATGCAGGACTATTGGCTGTCAAACAGAGCGAGTAGTTCCCCAAACTTCCACAAAATCCAGCTTCAATAATGTGCCATCGTCATTTACGCTTGAAGTTTCATTAGCAAGATGTATGCCAATAGTTTACTTTATTATCTCCTTTGTATACGTATCTTGATTGTTGAAGATCCTTTGATCAGTTTGATGCACTTATATCATTGAAAATACAATATTTCTCCTTAATCATTCCTCTCAAAAGCCTTTTGCATTTTAGTCTTGAACTTGTCCACCAACCCCTTGTTGCAGCCACTCATAAGAAGATCATCTTGTTTTAACTTGTATAAAGCCTTTTGCAGCTCAACATCTTGTTCTTGAGTAGCGCCATCAAGATGAAATTTCTGCTTGAAGTTTCCGTTTTTGCTTTCACCCAATTCCAGCAAATACCTTCATCAATCTTTACACTCCTAAACACCCTTACTTTCTCAGTTTGGAGATTGAAGATTTTATACCCTTTTGCATTGTTTCTATAATTGAGCAGAATGATTTGTGGCTTCTCATCAAGTTTGTCCTTTTTCACATTGGGAACATGTGTATAATAGATGCTCCTGAACACACCTGAAGTGATCCATCATGTATTTTTTTGTTAGACCAAGCCTCAGAATGTGTCATATTCTTCAAGGCTTTTGTTCGAAGTCTAGTAAGTAATCATATTGCAACTTAACTACTCCCTATAATTTCTATGAACATTTTCTTTTCAAACAGGAGAGACTTGGCAATCTCCACAATTTTAAAAGCTCAAACTCGAGTTGTTGGTGGTCTATTATTTATCCTTCTATATAGGTCGACAGTTACATACTTTTTGGATGTGAGACCGGAGTATCGCAACATCGACCACCCAAAATTGTGATGTTCTTATCATTGCCACATATCACAATCACAAACACAATCCAATGACCGACAAGGTCGTACAAATGTCTCTTTTAAATCTACAATTTTTATTATCTAGATTGCTAATATTGTGAAGGTAAAATAAAAGCCTAAAAATAATTATTTTTTTCCTTTTTGTTTGTATAATTGGTTATTAGACAAGTAGATTATACAAAAAGTTTTTGACTATTTTTATATATATATATTTTTTGATATATCTATGAGCAAATTTTGTTTTCTATAACTAACATTAATATACTACTTTAACGACACTCCCAAACTAATTAATAGTTTGAAGCAATTGTTCTTGGAAGACAATTTTCTCTTTGGCTTTTCTCAGGGCTCCTCGATGGGCAAGTGTGAATCTTGGCATATTCATATGCATGCAATGCTCAGGGATCCATCGGAGTCTCGGTGTTCATGTTTCAAAGGTTATTGTCATCCAATATTATTTATTTATTTATTTTTCTTTTGCCTAACTAATAAAAATGGGTATACATAAGCCATAGGATTGATATAACAAAATCTTTTCTACTTTTACTATTGTATCAAAATGGTTAATATCTCTTTTAATTGAATAAGGTAGTTTCATGAATTTAGAAAATATATCAAAGAATATCATGAGATGACATGATTTGTTAAGTTTTAACAATCTTGTTTATACAAATTTCTAAAACATCACTTTTTCTCACTTTTTTGTGGATACAAGGTAGTATTATTGATTTTCTCCTAAAAAATCCTTCTTATGGTACTATTTTGTACATCTTGTATATTCATGATAATAATTAAAAATTTTAAGACATTATATGAACTCTTTAATACAATAATGTGAAGACAAATGCATTGAAGATGACTTGACTTCATTGAATACATAGTGTAACTATGTATACAATTTGTGTGTCGTACGAGAGACTAGAATCAAGCTATGTAATTGCTATGTATAGTATAGAAACTAAGCAAATGTGGTTGGCTTCTGTCAAGGGAGATGAGAGATATTAGAAGGAAAATCTTAGTTGACTCTTATTGATGGGAATATTTAAGTCAATCTAAAAGAGTTTAGAGCCATAACAACTCAAATTGGTTAGCCGCTATGGAGCCATACTCAGTTTCAGCAAAATAACAAGAAATTTTTGCTTGTTTCTTTTTCTTTTATGAGATTGGATAGGATCCCAAACATGTAAACTAGCCTGAGGAGACCCATGTGGCATTTGGCAGGTTTCCAAATCCAAATCAACGTAAGCACTAAAGGTGGCAAGTTACCAAGAGTGTTTTTGAGATAGTGTTTTCAAATAGTATAGAACTTGAACGGAAACTTCATGGTTCTCTTGGCTTTACATAAAGAAACTATGTACATCAATTGAATTGTTTGGTGTAGTGATTACCAAAAAAATTAATAGACTAATTAGGAGGATGAGTCCTCTAATAGGTTTCCATCATTAATCAGATAAAATTTTTGCTGCCTATGAATATCACATGTTTTGGCACCAAGCATTCTTATTCTTATCTTTGAAGCATGTCAATGATACATTTCTATTAGCTAAGACAGTAAATTAAAACAAATAGGCAACTTCTATACTACAGAAATATTTTAGAGATCTTACATTTTTTGATATAGAAGTGAGCATTTGTGGCTATGGATTTTGGCTCACAACCCCAAGCTTCTAGCAAGCACAATTGAAGCCTTAGAAGTCTGGGACATGGCTGTTGGCCTGCTTGGAAAATTATGAGGAAGCGCCACCCAGATAAAAAGCATGATGCAAATGAGATTAAAACTTCTAGATTCCTTATAAGGAATGCAAGTATATATTTCAAATAAGGGTAATTAGATTGGTTTTTGAAAAGTGTTAGGCATTGTAGTTTGTCCAACCGAGAGGTTGACCTAGTACATTCTCCTGTCTAGGTTTTTTTTGGTCTTTTCAAATTTAAATATTTCATGCAAGTTTAAGCATTTTTGGTCTCATCCTTCACCAATTTTCTATTTATAAGTATTTAGAGAATAAAATCAAGTGAGTAAAAATAAAAGAAACAAAAAGGTAGAAATTTGTCCAACAATTATAATCATACATCCCAAAAATAATAAAATAAATGCAATAAGAATAAAGCATGAGAACAAACAACAGTAGATAGCAATTAATCAAGTGACTGAGTCGATTATCTTAAAAACTTAAGTTGATATGAAAGTGCCTAATAATTATTTATACTCTAACATGCCCTTGGACACATAGATTTGCAGATTAACTGCGTGGATTAAGCACAGATCTAACCAACCTTGTAGAAAATTAATAGTTAACTTAAATGATGGAGATAAGTTTAATAGAGAACGAATGGTGGATAAGATTGAGAGGCTAGTGGAGTAAAGGAGATGGAAGACATGGATGAGTTGGTTTGAAATGAAGGTAAAGAGAAATTGTTTCAGTTCTTCGCTATGATATTATATTATTTTAGGAAATGAATAGAATTAATTTTATTTCTTGCGATGCCACCATTTATAGGGATGGGATACAATTTTGAATAATAAGAAGAATCCAATACAAAAAATAAATATTTACATCATAGTTACATAATTAATTTTTATAAGAAATTGATATGATTCTATTTACTTGTTTTGGCTTCAAATTCTTGCATTCTAATTTGGAGGTATAAAAATAGTTTGTAGAGAAATTTCTCTACCAAGAGCAGTTTAGTTATAATGGTTGTAAAATAGTTTCCTTTTTGTCTCTACCCATGATCTTGTCATTGTTAAATGTTTCTCCTTTTACAGTGAGAGTTCCTGCTTCAAGGCGAGGCAGATCGACAGAGGCAACCTTTTTCTTCTTTCGAAATTTGTAAATAAAAGAATAAAAATTATTAGTACATGGCATAGGATCCATTTCTAATGTTTCTGTTTAAATTGTGGCAGAGGTATCATTTTAGGTCCATTAAAATTTATCAGCTTTTTTTTTGCTTCAAACATAAAGATAATTTATCAACTAAATTGAGCTGATTTCATTATATCCTCCCATCTTTACAAAGAAGATGAGGGTTCAACACCTTTTGACGCAGTTTAGGACAAACTTAAAAAAGATATGGACGTAATCCTTCAATACTCCATATGTACAAGTTGAGACTACATCACAAGTTCCTAGCTCATCTTAAACGCCTTTCAGTGTAGCAAAATATGCATTACAATATGACAACACAATTGAAATACCAACATCTTATTTTCAGGAAAAAAAGAATACCTTCAAGATCTTTCCACATTTCTCTACAGGTATCTATTGATATAGAGTTGAGAACATATCCATGAAACAACCATGGAATTAAATTTGTTTTTAAGATGGACTAGGCGGTTTAGATGAAGTACTATCAAATAAAACATAGTTACTCTTAGTAAGAGTTTTCTCATAACCTTGTTTCATCTATAGTATTTATATCTACAAATAAACAAGAAATTAAAATTTCTCCTAGATTATCTAAATGGTTTAAGTAATATGGAGAAGAACTAGAGATTTCATTGGTTGGTCGATGTAAAGTCCTATTGCTAAAAATTGTGTTTAGGATAAAATACACTATTTAGATAGGAGGACTTAGAATTAAGCATATATGATTCCTTGTGAAGAAAAATGTATTGGAAATGACTTAGTTACAGTGAGTACCAAAAATGCATCTATATGACTAAATATACAAATTGTGTGCTGCACAAGACTGAGCAATGTAATTGCTGTGTATTGTATAAAAAATAAGAAAAATGTGTTGTAAAAATCTATAAATTTATTTCTTTATCAATGTTTTCTTGGTTAACTTATGTTTATGGGTGGGAGTTGAGAGATACAAGGAGAAAAATTTGTTTATGGAATGTGGAAGAAATTGGGATTACAACTGTCTTAACAAATAATTAAACTACTATGGGATTTTATGATATTACAACTAATTATTATTTTCTGTAATTAGTGAATAAGTATTTTGTTTTTACTAATCAGATGGTTTACTTTATTTCTATCTGTTAAATATCCTTGTCTTTCTATTC